AGAAGCCATGGTCCCAGTCGAGCTCGGTGAACCGACGTACCGAGTTCAACATTTTACCGAAGAATCCAACTCGGAAAACCTGAAAGCTAATTTGGACCTGCTTGACGAACATCGCACCCATGCTGAACTCAAAAATGCTGCTTACAAACATAGAAGTGAAAGATATGTCAATTCTAAACTTAAGCCTCGTTCATTCCGAGTTGGAGATTTGGTCCTTAAATGCGTAATGGGGCCGGACCTCGGCCCACTCAGACCGAGGTGGGAAGGACCTTTTCAAGTCATTGAAGTCCTACCTCATGGGGCCTACCGAATCGCTCACCCTGATGGAACTCCGCATCAATATCCATGGAATGTTGTTTTCCTAAAGAAGTTCTATCAATGAACGGTCCGAAGTCGGATAGCCAACCCTTCTGTTGCACGGACCCTTCTTTTTGGCTTCACTGAATGTATGAAGTAACTCTTTTTATGTACTGAAAGCCCATCGGCTTTCGCGTTTGGACAATCCGAGCAGCAGCTCAATACTGATGTAAAATACCTTGAAACTCAGTTCTATGAATATTTTGTACCGATGTAAGCATTCCGACACTCGGTCTTGCTGATACCCCATAATATATCCGAACCCCACACATGTTTCGGATGGGGGTGACGCTCGTCAAACGCCATTTCAACACACATGACTTGGCGGGTCCCAAAAATCACCGAACACAAAGAGATATGAATCGGTTGGGACCGTTCTATAATCGAACTCTGACGAAGTTCGATGAAGTCTTTTTTATTTCACGCACAACCCCAAGAATGTGTTAAGTTTCGTGAGTTATTTGAAAACTCGCATAACGACTTGCGCTTGTGGCTGAAATTATCACAAACAAAAGATCAAAGTGGAACTCGGAAATTATTCTTACAAAAGCTCACGACTCGGTTAATGATATGAAAAAACCCGAGTTAGAGCTATTCATTTCACAATCCGTACCGAGCTCAGAACACTTGGTCGAAAAAATCGCTGAAATTTATACAGCGAACATAAATCAAAACAGATATTTTGCAAACACATCATATATATTTCATAAAATGTCGGAAAGACTTTACATATTTCCTACTAAGGGAGTCAACAAACCTGACCTCCCCGATTACTTATTAAACAAATATATGAAGCCCAACTAAGGATGCCGACATACCGGCACCCCGACTATATTATTTCAAACATATAAAAATATAAAAGGCACTGAAACTTCAAGCGGCGTCATCTTTCTTCTCGACATCTTGACCAGCACCGCTACCTTCTCTGACTTCCGAGCTGCTGGAAAATTGCTTCTGAAGATGATCCTGCATCGCCACTTCCTTGGCCTTAGCCACCGCATCGATGGGAGCATCAGTAATCGGAACAAACTCATGCCGAGGATCCCCATCTTCAGCCGACTTCTCTCCAGTCACTTGAGGAGCTTCAATAACTCCGACCTCCTTCTCGATTGATTTAGCTTTCTCCTCAATATAAGCCTTGACTGTGCTCTGAATCTGCTCTGGAGTCATATCATCAAAGTGTTGTTCCAGCTCTACTTCAGCAACGGTCGAAAGATACACGTCAGCTAACTCCTTCCTCTTCTCCTTCTCTCCCTCTAAAATCATGTTGACGTAAGCACGTCGGAGGAGAGCAGCTCTGTCCTCGGTAAGTGGCGGCAAGTCGGGATTCCTGGCCATTTCTTCAGCACGGCGCAACATCCACATGCAAAATTCTCGCTCATCCTCGTCGGCCTCAATGTGCATGCTTTTGACCTCCATATCAAAGCCGTACTTCTCAAGCTTGTGGAATAAAAAGAAACGCAACTCATCAATATCATAATAGTCGGCGGTGTACCTCTCAATCACCCACCGGAGATTCAGACAAGTGTTCATCTCGATTTCGAGGTCAGGCCCACCGACCTCATCATCATCCCCACCGGCATCCTTGTCTTCAACCTCAGCCTCCTCACCAGACTTCGGCTCGATAGCGACCGAATCCTTCCCAGCTTGGAAGCCATTCTCGTACATGAACTCCCCATAGGCCGACTTCTCCTTCTCAAATTTAGCCATCTCGGCCTGATGAGCGTCCCGTTGGCGGCCGATTAGTTCATGTGCCTCAACGCACTCCTTCTGTGCTGCCTCGCGCGCCATCTTATCTTGCTGCAGCTTCTCTTCCACCTCTTCAGCCTTGGCTTTCAACGCCTTGGAATGCTGTTCGGCAAGAGCAAGACGCTCCTTAAGTTCGGCCACTTCGGTTTCAAATGCCTTCTTCTCCCCAGATAATGCCGAGGTCTCGACCCGTGCCTTTTCCAACTGGGCAGCTTGTTCGGAAAGTTGGCCCTTCAAGTCGGCTTCCATTTTTGCAGACTCTTCCTTCAAATTAACGATCACGACGTCCCGCGCAGATATTACATCCTTTTTCCCTTCTAATTGTGACGTAATCCGGCGGTGATCGTCCTCAGCAGCAACCAAACTGACCAACGCCCTGTCTACGCACGCCTTGGCATAACTCAATTTGTCCACACTCGACAAAGAAGAGACCCCTACTTCGGATTTGGGGTCCCATACCATTAACGGCACACGAGCAGCATTTTTAGCGCTCTCCGGCATCTCAATTCTAGACGACATGTGTGGTGTCTTAACAGACTGGAAAGTAGTGAACCACTCCTCCACAACGCCTTCGGGCACCCTAACATTGGCGGCCCGCTCTTCGTCAATGGATAAAAAGGACTTCTCGAATAAGGGAGATTCGTCATGGCCCTTCTCAACGGCTTTACGACCGGAGTCATGCTTTTTCTTCGATTTCTTTTCCACTCCGGAAGAAGCACCAACGTCGGCCATCTTCACCAACTTTCTCTTTTTCCTCTTCTCCGGTTGCTCCGACTCTAGGGACTTCGGAGAAGAGGGCGGTTTCTGAAGCTCTTCTCCCGGCACTTCGGTATGCACGACCTCGGCCGTAACCAACCCTGTTCCCGTTACGATAGGTTCAGGGTCTGCTTGGTTAATCGCAGCAGCATTCACAACTGATAGCACCTCGGTAGTTGTCACCTCTTGCAAAGACTTTGGGTTTTCCGGAATAGCGGCCGAAGTCGCGCTCGACCCCACTTCGTTCGATTTCTTACCGGTGTTTTTCTGGCCAGCAGTCTTCTTCACCAAAGCGCGAACAAGATCTCTCCTCATGGTGTCGTTCAATCTCAGATCTCGACTCTTGCCAAACTTAGATTGAAGGTCTCTATTCGGAAACTTACGCCTGAACTCCTTAGCTTCCTTGACAGAGCTATAACCCAGAAATCCGAGGAGTGGATAATATACTGCATTCCGGCAATAGACAAACAGAGTTCCCGACAGCTATTCTACACGTATAGAAAGTCTGACAAAATCACCATAAACTAAAATTCTCTTACTGGGGTCAAATCTCGAAGTAGAAACTCCGAGAGACAAACCAGCCACTTCGAGCTTCGAATCTACTAAGAGCGTACGATAATCTCGAACTTCTTTATCCAAGTTGGCCAAAGCAATCAACTTCCCACCGAATTCCGGACTCAACTTTGGCTCTTTCTGCTTGGTCTCTTTTTCTACAAAGGGCAAAAGTTCCGACCTGTTAGTACACAGAACAACACCAAAATCAGGAAAATACATCCTAATTGACAAAAATAAAACAAACTCACTTGCTCCGGAATGAATAAACATAGGGATTGTCATCCCATCAATTCGGGGCTCATGGAAAAAGCCCTCGGATTGCCACTCCCCACCAATCCATAGCCACTCCTCCTGAAAACCGTGAAGACTCTCCGGGATCTCGGTTATTATTTCTCCAACTTTAATGCCGTGCTGCGGTTTTGCTCCGGCAAAGAAACAACACGAGGACTCAGCAACCCTCCTCTTCGGACTTAGTTTAAAGGCAAAAATACTTCTCATTTCCTCGCACGATGGTAGCCCCTCACCCTGCTCGTGCAACAACACCATCAGGCCAATAATCTTATTCCAGCTGTTGGGAGTGATCTGACATAATGGCAACCCCCAACTCCGGAGGTATTCCGTGATCAAGTTTGGCAACGGGAATCTCAATCCCGACCTCAAGCTCTCCGCAAATATACCCACACAACCCGGAGGTGGGCTTGTTATTCTCTCCCCGGGGTAAGGAGCGAAAATCTTCACCGAGGGTGGAATCCACACCGGTTCTCGCAGCAATACGACGTCAGCATCGGTCAAGATACTCGGTTCACCCTCAAAATCGACCTTTGGGTCGGGCCACGTCCTCACCGGCCTTCTCCAATGAGGCGTCACGAGGTCGGTCGCGTTATGTTCTACAACCAGGTCTCCATCCTCATCGTTTGGCTTAATGTCTAAATGCCTCACCAACGACGGATCCCATCGGTGGTATTCAAAAGCTAACTCAACTAGTTCCGAGTCGTGATAAATTTCTAACGGAACCGATTCAGTACTAGAAGAACTTGCTACCGCCTTACCCTTTCCCTTCGACGCCATCGCACAACAGAACAGAACGCAAAAGAAATAAAGGAAGAATTAAAGAAGGAACTTACCGAAAAATCCACAAACACACAATGCGCAGCAAACGACTCTCGAACTCTCAAAGGAATTTCAACAACAATGTTACTAGATGCAAAAGCTCAAGAATTGAAGCAAAAGTGAAGAAAGTTCGATCAGAAACTGCGAAACCCTATTTATAATCTCCAATTTCTGACCGTTAGAGATCCCAATTAAGGGCGCGTCCAACCTACGCGACCCCTAATTCCAATCGGTGCCACCCTTTCATCTGACAAAAGCCTACTGTTACACGTGGCATCCTATTAAAACCAACCGTTACCGCATTTAAGACCATTACGGCGCGACCGTTCATTCTGACATTAAATCATCGACCGTTACGCCTGTTCAGATCTCTTCTACCGCTTCCCAGACAATAACAAATTTTCACCAAGTGTTCTCACCCTGGAAATTAACACCCGCTTCGGCAAAAATGATTCACCTCGGTAATTTTCCTGTCACGAGCATCTTAACACGAGCGAATTCCTCGTACAGACTACAACCGAGTCAGATCTCAACCCTTCTTTTGCAACATCGACGACCATCACTCCGTATGATCGCCGATATTGGGGGCCTCTCTGTTATCATCCAACTCGGCAAAACATCATTAAGGAGTCTTAAGCATCATGTTAAGTGAAATTAACTATTGAACCGACGTGATCCAAAGCCGTGCTAGTCCGCGCAACGAACCGGTCCGAGCTATCGAAGACCGAAGTAACCGATATCTACCGAGGTCATCTTAAACCGAGGTCGTCACCTCCTAAAGCAGGTGACAAGGCGCCTACACACCCCTATCACGATCCACGAGGTTTGTCATCATTCATGTGGGACCCACTGCTCCAACCGCCCACCAAAAGTTACTTTATACGAAAAATAATACACGGATTTCAATGTATATATCGAAAAAGCTACTATAAATAGCTACCCTATGACACTTGTACGGGTATTCCGAACTTATTAATATGCAACACGCAATAGCCCATAAAGGCTTTTCACCTCGGTCCACCTCGGATCGAGACCATTGTTGAATTATCCTTACATGCTTTACGTTTAAATCACTTGAAATTATCTCATAAACTCCACCTTGAATCGTTGTTAAGAATCATACGACAACAGTATAAAAACAGCATCGCCAAGATGTTTACAGAAACGCACTACAAACATTACACCTACCACAGTGGTACGTATGCATTTATTAAAGCACGTACCTCTTTGCGTATCCACAGTAAGTGACGTCCCAGCTATGTTTTTATCTCTATCCACACTCGTACGCTGATGTGTGCCATCATCAACGTCATCGGCGGCAACAACATAATCTGGAGTCAAACCCAACCCCAAGCTGTAACTGGGCCCCTCATTGTGCATCCTCTTGAAGCGGTCCCGCCGTTCAATTGCATTCATAACCTCATCGAGTGCAGCTAATGTATCAGGAGCGTTCCAGAATGCATCGTCGGTCTGCTGGGAAACGCCACCCCTAATGGTATTATCTGTTACGCCATCCTTTTTTCCGATTGGGCCACATTCCTGACTATTAACGGGATGGTTCGGGTCACTGCGTGGCAATTCATTGTACACTCCAAGCAGCTTTTGCGCCGCCTCGTTCATTTTCACAAAGTTCTCATCTTCAAGTAGAACTTGCGGGGCCTTTTCAACCAATTGTAGTATTTCAACCCCGGTAGTTGCAAGAAGCCGTGTTTTAGACGTAAACTCATGAACATAATCCTGATGAAAAGATGTAATGCTACATTTAATTAATAATGCACTCTACCGCATACCACGGTGCACAATTTCACAACGGACAATGCACATTATGTAATGATAAACTTAAGACGGGTGAGGGAATCAGGACGCATGAAAACAAATAAAAAAATGGGGGTATAAAAACAACACAGGTAAACTCATGAACATAAGCGTGATGAAAAGATGTAATGCTACATTTAATTAATAATCCACTCTACCGCATACCACGGTGCACAATTTCACAACGAACAATGCACATTATGTAATGATAAACTTAAGACGGGTGAGGGAATCAGGACGCATAAAAACAAATAAAAAAAAATGGGGGTATAAAAACAACACAGGTAAAGTCATATGATGAAAATCATAACGCATAACGTTGACCGCCATAAATTTTAGAAGTAACGATATAGAGAGGCATTTTGCAAACACCACATTTTCAAGCACAATTATTTATAACAAACTGCACAAGTATATGTTGTGTATTACACAATATGTATGTGGTATCAGCCTCATTACATAAACACTGTGAGTCGAACACAATTCATGTATGCAATCATCATTCACATATGCACATTTATGATCTGCACATTGCACATTTTACTCCAAACAAATGCACATTTCATCAGTTAATAAAATAAATATATAAATATATATAAAGAGAAAAAAGGGCAAATCGGTATCTACTTGTACACTACAATTCTCCGGGACCCCAGCAATGACGTCGTCAGAGTTCGTATCCATTTTATCAAGCTGGTGGATATCGAGAGCGTCTGCATCCACAAAACCTCTCCCGAAGGCCCCCGAAGCGATCTCATCACGTTCTCTGTTTCTTAAGGACTCGTTACTCCAGGAGCTGAACCTCGGGAACCTCCGCGGGACCGATCTCACGGAAAACACTACCTTGTCCACGTAGAATAACTGAGTCCGAAAAAAGAAAAAAACAATAATTAACTCAATAATAAAACAACAACAGCCATACGAATACTAGGTTGTCGCTATAATACACGAACATTAAAAAAAAAAGGAAATAATAGTAGTAATAATAATAATAATAATAATAATAATAATAATAATAATAATAATAATAATAATAATAATAAAAATAATAATAACAACAATCAGGACATGAATGAGATGAATCAATAATGGGAAATCAATGAAATAAGACTGACCGTCAAGAACAGTAACGACCCTGCATAAGTCTTCTTTGTGTCGACCGAACATTTAATCATGTATGAACACCAGTTCATATCGCAAACGTCCGATAAATCGTCAAGTGCATGCACTATACGGGAGTTCGCCATTCCATTCAGACAGCTTTCAAACAAACACGATACCATAAGGACTATGAAATGGTGCTTGAACCAAACACCACCATCATCGCATTCATTGATCTTATCCAAGACCTTCGACACCGTAATGTTCGACGGTCTTCTAACATCGAAGAGAGCGATCCACTCATCCAACAGATTTGATGTAACTCGCTTCTTTTTATTATTAACCTCGAGCTCTCCACGAGGCAACCCAAACACAGCATATACATCTTCTTCCTTGACGTGCACTTTCTCCCCATCGTACAATTGGAGCTTCCGGTCCAGGTGGTTGAAGTTGTTTACCAACCAGAAACCCATCTTCAACGGCGTTGTAGTTATGGACAACTCCAGCAAACGTCCAAAGCCCATTTCACAGACTGCATTCTTCTTGACATTTGACAGACCAGAAATCGCCTTGACAAACATACCGACTGAAGTCCTCGTAAACACACTCGGAAACACTTCATCGTCATCACTTTCCACATCAACGGCAGGAGCCTCATCAACAGAATGTTTGACTATAATGTCGGTATCATCAATTTTGCGCTTGCCCTTATCTACAAATTAACAGAGGATAAAAGAACATCAAACACCAAGTATATATATATATATATATATATATATATATATATGAATTTATGTATATAACTCCAGAAACAATAGAAAATAATAGCATATACCATTCCGAGATTTTGTGATTTCTGCCTGACAGCGTATAGGTACATCATCGACAAAATCATCGGCATCATACTGGCTCGTGCGTGCACCAACTTTGGAACGCTTCGGAAGCCCACCGGCGCGTTCTAGTGCATCATTATTTCTATTCGACGCTGTATATGTACAATGAAATAAAGCTTCAGATTTATTGAATATATAATATACATATGGTATTCCGTAAAATTTTACCTTCTTCTGTTTTATCGAGCTTCGTAGAAGTGTCACCTTGTTGTACTACGGGTAAGCTTGCACGGTGTCGGGTACCATGACGAGTTTTTTTGATTTCTGCCAAACGAGACAGAGGTATGTCATCGACAAAATCGTCGCTATCGGGCTGGATAGTTTTGTGTACACCAACTTCAGAATGTTTCTTACGATCACCATCATGTTCTGGTACACCGAGTGTTCTATCCAACATTGGATCTGTACAACAAACGAGGAGACAACAAACACACATATAACAAAAGAGATCGTTAATTGACTAGTTTACATTCGCAATATACACATAAATATATCACAAACACGTACCTTCTTGAATGTTAGCAGGATTCGTGGACATGTCCCCTTGTTGTACTAATGGCAGTTGTGTGCGCCGTCGGGACACTAACAGAAGATGTCAAGCATTACGAATAAGTCAGTATAAACTCGAATTAATAAGCAGACTCGTACTCTTGTATGAATGTATATATATATATATTTATATCACAAACCTTTTTGGACACCGGGGGTTGACCTGTTATACCTGTATCAACAGTCAATCACACAATTGTAAATACAGGCACATATGTTCACTACAAACCAAACAAAAATATTCATATAACATACAACCATCACCATTAGGATCAGGTACCTTGTCCATCTTCTTACGAGCAGTACCTACACAAGATCGATGTCAAGAATACACATCATAGGCATATGTGTAGTACTTATATTTTTCATATACAGAATAACATGATTTAGATGATTAAATCTACTTAAATGTGGTCCCAATATATATATATATTTTTTTTCCAAAAGTTGAATAATCTTGAACAAAGTATTGTAGATCTGGAAAGATACTAGAACATAATGTGCTTGAGAAAAAATAAAAAATAAAAAATAAAAAAAATAAAAATAAAACAGCAACAAAAGAAGACAAATCGTGCGAAAGTAGTAAGATATATAACTACAATTAAGGGGAAGACACCTGATACGAACGAAATCAACAAACATAAAACACATACTAATTACAAAAAAAAAAAAAACGAATAATTCCCAGATCAGAGCAGCCCATACATTTTTTTTTTGTTTATCTGTGTCTACAATGTGACGAGCAATGAAAAAATCTAAAAAAAATCTAAATAATAGCTATGAATTTGAATACAACATTACCTCGTTTTCTCGATTGAGGCGAATTTCCCATAGTTTGAAACGGAAGAACAGTTACTCCTAAAACCGTCGAAATGACGTATAATGAACACTAAGGTGAATGCGCGTCAGTTACACTATATTCCCATGATGATTTGAGCTCGAAATCCTCTCAAGATCCAGAAAACCGCCATAGATGCCCAACAAGCTCCTTCTTCCTTCAATATCTCTGACCTAAAGGTGTGGGTTGTAATTAATGGGCCCGAAATCCAACCATTACCCCCTCTGGTAACGTGTTAAAGACGACAATGCCCTCTAACCTGTATATTTTCCCGTCTTATTTCGATCTATTTACGCGTATGCCACCGCGAGTCAAATATTGCTGGTTTAGTGTTGACTTCATCTCAATCGTTTATTTATTTGATCGAACGGTGTACAGTCATTCTCAATTCTTTTGTTATTCCCCATTCTCATTTGATCCAATTCCTATATATATATATATATACCATTAAAAACGATTAAAAAGATATATACCATTAAAAAAAATCAATACATATACCTTAAAAAAACTGAAAACCCCATTTAATGAATGATCAAAGACAAAACAAAAAATATAAAATAAACATTTTGGAGATATAATCATTCCATGCATGAACCAGATTTTTTTTGTATTGTGGTATATGTACAGTATATGATTAGTATATGTACAATATATTTTCGTACTTTTCGCCGGATTTCTTCTCCTCGCGCAGTGATGTTCGACCCGATCGACTTCCTCGCGCTCCATCGATTTGAAAGGGCCTCTTCGATCTTCCCAAATCAAATTACTTCTCATCTTGGGATTTTCACCGCCATCCCTGCAATTTCGCCGGAGTTTATTGCAACGGCGATAGATCTCTTCGATAATCCCATATTGAATTACTTCTTCTATTGATATTTTCACTGCTGTCCCTGCAATTTCGCCGAAGTCTACTGTGACGGCGATAGGATGGTGGCCTGCAACCTCGCCCTCAATATCTGCAAGATTTTTTTATTTTTTTAAAGAACGAGAATCACGCCAAAGAGAAGTAACAGAATTTTGGCATTACTTCAATTAAATATCATATGTTAGGTAAAGACACAATTATTTATATTTGGATGGTATATGTGTAATATTTTCTGTATCACGTAGTGTAAGTGAAAATTTCCCAAACTTTTATATGTAGTCTTGTGTAATTTTTTGTTTAGCCCCATTTAATATTGGGCTGGATTTCAAGATTCAGGTTAAATTTATTCATTTGACAACCACAGTGGATAAGTGATGATCGTAGTGAGAGGATATGAGACAATCTTCTATTGTCAAATGACAATTATGCTCTTATTTATTTTTTATCAATTGAGTTTAAAATATGGCTCGACACTAATGCCTTTTAAATTCTTAATGAGTTGATTTGACAAGTGTCAAATGAGTTCGGTAATTAAGTTTGACGCACACTTCTCTTGCGAGCTATTTTAGGTTTGTCTCTTTGCACAGTTTGTTAACCATTTTTCGTTCGATTTTTGTTGAATTCGTCTCCAATAATTAATTTGCGCTCATTTCCTAGACACAAAAAAAAAAAAAAATCTTATAGAGTTGATTGCAAATATTTTCGACTCTAGTTGTTTGATCGACATGTTCGATTAGCTATTTAAGTTTGACTTCTTTAAGGGTGTGTTTGACACGTATAATAAGCTAGCTTATAGCTTATTTGGTTAGCTTATAAGCTTTCTGTATCAAATAAGCCCCGTTTGGTAAGACGAGCTTATTTAAAAAGCTCGAGCTTATTTGATAAGCTTGTTTACGTAGCGTTTCAAAATAAGCTAGTTGACTTTTTTATTTCAGCTAGCTTATAAGCTAGTTTTACCAAACACTTTTATCATATAAGCTAGCTTTTTAGCTATATATCATAAGCTATAAGCTATAAGCTAGCTTATAGCTTATCAGCTACCAGCTAGCTTATAAGCTATCAGCTAGCTTATCAGCTAGGTTTACCAAACACACCCTAAATGTACAAACGAGTCGAGATTGAGTTTTCACAATTTGAACTAAATTTGTTAATAAATTATTTTGTTCTAGTAATGGCAAAACCGGTTTCGAGTTGAAATAGCCAGCCCGAATATAAGCACTGGCCGGTTCATTAAGTTGTCGGTTCTTGGTCGCCCGCTTCATTAAAAGAAATAAATTTATTTAAAAAGTATTTTTTTTAAAAAAAAAGAAGGATGAACCTTCGGTTCCAGTTCAAAACCGAAAACGTCGGTTTGAAATGTATAAACTATAAAGTATTGAACATGAACATGACTGGTCAAAATCACGGGCCGATTCAAGAGCCATGGTCAACGGGTCGGTTCGGGCCGAATCAACGGATCGACCTGGCCCACGACCATGTCTACTCGGTTCCAATAATAGCTACAATAATATGCAGCCCTGGGTTAAAAAAATTTCTGGCTACGCCCTTGTTGGGAGGTAATCAAAAGTAGACAAAAGACCTTGTCTTGAACCGCTTTTCTGCTCCAATTTTCAAATCAATATATGAAAATTGAACAAATAGGTATTTTCTATTAGGAGATGCTATGGTCTGGTTACGGAACTATCCTGTCAAAGTTTTGTAACCGTTAGATCAACTATCTCTGACGGTTACATTATAATCCAACGGTTACAAACTTCGACGGAATAGTTACGTAACGAGACCGTAGTATTTTCCTTTTCTATTATCATCAAAACGCAACAAATGAGTCTACTCTATACTTAAATTATCAGTCATTTCATAAAAAATTCTATGGAGTCATCGGATGATTTTCTTATAGAGCCATTCATGACTTAGTGTATTGACACTTGTCCAAAGTGCATTTATTGTAGGACATGTGTCAATAAATTATTTGTGAATAACTGTGGATGGCTCCATAAGCTGAGTCATCCGATGGCTCCATAGCAAAACTGGTCATTTCATTAAGGGCTTGTTTTCTAAATGGATAGGTCATATGCCAAACAAGGAAGATTATGCGTATATATCCCATGTTTATGAGCCTTGATACACGTTCCGTCCAAATATCTAAAGCCTCATTTAATGGTTATCATTTTTTCGCATGATATTCTTGTCCAAGCCTCCATGGACTTACGGGTGGCTAGCTAACGGGCCGTGACCCGGCCCGGCCCTGTAGACTGGCGGGCCTTTCATGGGTGGCCCTTAACCGGCACGCCAAGAAACAAGCCGACTCGTGGAACCGGCCCTGTCCCGGCTCGCCAGGGACAAAATAAACAAAAATGAGGACCCGGACATGGCCCGTTGGGCCACGGTGCCGGTTCTCGGAACTGGCAATCTACGGGCTGGTTGTGGGATGGCCCGTGGTCATGTCTACATGGACTGATTTTTTTTAGTAATAATTACCCTCACACAGTTGCTTTTTATTTTATTTATCGTAAAACAAAAAAAAAAAATCTATGAAGTCATCGGAGGGTTCCATAACAAAACTGAGCAAAGCAAATGTTATCTTTCATTCCCCTTAAACGATTTTTATTTTTATTCTATATCTATCAAAAACTTTAAAAATAATGTAAATTGTTTTCTAATAAATTTAATGTCCGGATCAAGCTATTAACATGATTCAAGAGTCTAACTTCAATTTACAATTATAATATCCACACAAGTTTCATCAGATTATTATGGCGTCGGCCCGGCAGAGACGGGCTCGTCGCGGGCTAGATGAAGACGTCGACCTGGCCGGAGCGAGGGCTCGACGGCGGTGGAATAGTGACGTCGGCCTGACAGAGCAAGGGCTCGTCGGTGGGCAAGATGAAGACATCGGCCGGCCGAAGTTGGGGCTCAACGGCGGGCGAGATAATGACGTCGGCCCGGCAGAGCAAGGGCTCGTCGGCGGGAGAGATGAAGACGTCGGCCGGCCGGAGCTGGGACTCAACTGTGGGCGAGATAATGACGTCGGCCCGGCAGAGTAGGGGCTCGTCGGCAGGCGAGATGAAGACGTCGACCGATCGTAACTGGGGCTGAACGGCGGGCTAGATAATGACGTCAGCCCGACAGAGCTGGGGCTCGTCGA